ATTTTATTATTATTTGTGAAGATAATATGTAATTTTCAATAAATTTTACATAGTTTTTATTTTTTATGCAGAAAAGAGCTTGAATGCAAAATAATAAGAGTTTTTTAAATTAATTGAATATTTTTTGAAAGTTGAGGGACTGAATGGCAAGACAAAGAAGCCTCTTTGGAACTTAAATGAATGAATCTTAAGTTACGGGATCAAAGTGCTCATTATATAAAACCTAGAGGACAAATATGCCTTTTTAGCATTGAAGAAATGTGAAAGGAGGTCAAAAACTCGACATGGGTGTGTTGTGACACATAAGGGTGGCAATTTCCCTTGATTCCCATGGGGATCCCGGTCACTGGGATGGGTAGGAAGGAATATTTCTTTTTGTGGGATAGAGATAGAGGGCATTTTCTCTCTGCGAAATTTCATGGAGAATTTTCCCTATCCTGTGAGGTCTCACGGGATCCCCATCTTTGCAAAAAATAAATAAAAAAAATTTAATTTAATTTAACATTTAAAATCAAACCCAAACCCAAACCTAAACTCAATTCAATAAAAAATTAAACTTTACCCAACCCAACCCAACCCAACTCAACTCATCATCCTTCTTCCAACCCTAATTTCCTAACCTTATTCATTTCCCTTTCTCCTCACTCACGCAGCAGTGTAGCACACCTCACAACCTACACTCACTCACTCCCTTTCTTGCTTCTACAGTCTCTCCCCACTCACTCACACCTCACCTTTGACCTTCCCCTCCCCTTTTTGCTTCTGCAGTTTCTCCTCACTCACTCTCACAGTCTCACCTTTGATTTTCCCCTTCCCTTTTGGCTTCTGCTACTACAGATCTGCTGCTGGAAATGCTACAGATCTGCTGTCGAAGCCGCAGTATCCCATCATCCTCCTTTTAACCCTAAGTTCCTAAGCTTATTTTATTTTATTTATGTTGGGTTGATTTTTGCTTATATTTGGAACAAATATGTTGCTTTTATGTTGGATTAATCTCTATTTATATTTGGAATAATTTTTTTGATTTAATTATTTATGTTAAATTAATTTTTATTTATGTTTAATGCAAAAAATATATACTTTGATATTAATTAGCAGGGAATGAGGATATGGGGCAAAATTTGCCTCTTGTCAAAAATCTCCGCGAGAATCCTCGTTCCTGCCATTTGTGGGGACAAAGACAGGGAGGGACTCCTCCGCCTTGCGGGTCCTTGTTAACATCCCTAGTGACACGTAATTCGAGATGTTAGTACTATGCATTAAGAGTCTAGAATTAAAATTTCCTGTCCCAAGTCTTTTTTTTTAATGAATTTTTTTAAATTCTGTAAATAGTTAAATACCCATTCAAAAATCAAATTTGCGGCTTTTTGGGGGACCAAGAGAGAGACAACTAAGAAGGATTCATTGTTCAAATAAAATTTGAATTAATTAATTTTGATACTTAATTAGTTTATTGTTTTTGTGAGATGATATGTTATTCTTATTATTATATTATTTAAATTGACTAATATTTTTACTAGAATCAATTTAACTCATTAAATTTTAATTTTAAAATTTTA